CGCGACCTGGGCGGGCTCAGGAGTGTGACGGGCCTCGGGGCCGCTGTGGATGGTTTCTAAAATGATCATTGAAAACTTCGAGGCACTGAAGTCCTGGCTGAGCAAGACTCTCGAGCCCATGTGAGTATCCGGGGGATCTCTCCTTGCAGGGATGGCAGTGGGAGACAGGCAGACGTACACATCTGCAGTTTCCCCAAGTCTTGCCGTGGAGGCCGAAGCCGTGAACAGAGGTCCCAGGGCTCTTGTGTTTTCTCCTGCTGGTCTGTGCTTGCTTCTAGATTCGAGACACCTCCGAGAGCCTGAGCTGATCTTTATTTTCTCACCGAACTGGTCTTTGAATCGATTTTTTTCCTCCGCTCCGGTTTTCCCGTTACGTGTAGACCGACCCCAGCCTCCTCACTCACATCTGTATTTTTCCGAGGGCCTCAGAAACAGGTTTCTTTAGTGAATCTGAGCATAGCCTCCTGCCTGTATGTTATTTTACTTTTGCCTCTTTAAATGAAGTGAACAGCTTTCACTAGAGATTACGACAGTTTTGGTTTAAATCGCTCACGTTACACCTAAATACAATTCTTGAAAGAAAGGCCACGTCGCCCATGTGCTATCTGGCTCATCTGTACCTCTCTTAACTGATTGCAGATGTAACAGGTGCTAAGGTGCCCAACAAAATTCCCGCCCACACATTCGTTTGCTTGGAGTGTGAGAGGAAAATTAAATTTCCATCCATATGGGATGTTTAGCAGTTTCAAATGGGATGTTACAGTGGAGCGGATTGGGGTGGGTTAGGGGGCTGAAATGTATCAGATTGGAAAACTTGAGCCTTTTAAGTGTGTTCTTCTTAATACAAAATATACTATTAGCACCGACAAAGTGCCCTGTCAGAATTGGTTGATTTTTACCAAAAACAACTTAAAATGCAGTTATAAGGAAATTCACTTTGAGGGAAAATTCACTCATTTATTAAATTTATTAAGCACCTATTGCATACTGTGGGAAGTTTTGAGGAAAGAGCTTTTAAATTCCAAAGTTGACATGACATAATAATTAAGATGATTTCAAGTATTAATAAAGCTATTATCATTATAATAATAAAAGATAATGTAAAAGAGTGACCAGAGTGGGGCTCCTTCACATCAGATGGTCAGGGAGAGCCTCTCAGTTGGTGACATTTGAGCAACGCCTAAAAAGGAGAAGAAACTATCTATATGAACGTCTGAGGAAAGAGTTTTCTTGCAGAAGGAAGAACAAATCCAAAGGCCCAGTAGCAGAAGTCATCTTGGTGTGTCTGAGGATGAGAAAGAACGCCATTGTGGCTGATGGAGGAGCCAATGGAAAGATACTATTGATAAGTCGAAGAAGTAGGAAGGGGCAAAATCATGTGGCATTTTTTTGGGGGGTGGGCCCATGGTCAAGAGTTAGGATTGTATGTAAAGTATAATGAGAAGACATGACTTAAATCAGACAATGATGATCTCTGTGTGTGTTGATGCTGCCTGCAGAGACAGTGGACAGAGATGTCTGTCGTTTGCTTTAGAGAGATAGTAAAAACTGAAAGAACCAAATATGTTTCATAAGTAGATCTGATAGAACTAGGTGATAGATTGGATGTGGGAGATGAGAGGACAGGAAATCAAATAAGTTAGCCCAAGCAACTGATGATAGGGAACACTGGGAGAGAACAGATTGAGGGAGGGGAAGGCTTGTTGGTTTTGATCATTAAGTGTGAGGTGGTGTCACATATTGGATATGTGATATGAATGTAGAATTCAGACCAGGACTAGAGACATTTTGAGTCCTGTAGGTAATATTTTAAAGCATGGAATTGTTGGCTATTGCCTCAGAAGAATTTGTAGATAGGGAAGAGGAAAGGGCTCAGGACCCAGGTGGGAGAACAAGTGGGCTATATGTGAATAAAGGAAAAAATAAATGTATAATAGAAGAAGGGAGTTATTTATTTGATAGGATACTACTGCAGAATGGATGAAAAGGATGAATTCAGATAAGTGGCAAGGCATAGGTCATTGTGGTGTCCTTGGCAAAATGGTTTCGCTGGAGTGACATGGTATGGATAGAAGCTTTATTTCAGTGTACTGGAGAGAAACTTGTAGCACAGTACAGTATAGAGTTTGAGAGGAGGAACTCCGGAGCGGCTGTTTCTGCCACTTACTAGCTATATACTATTGGGTAAGTTACTCAACTATTGCCTTCATTTTCTCATCTGTAGAATGGGGAAAATAATGTATCTTAAAAAAAACTTAAGATTAGTTCTTTAATTGCATTTCAGGTTAATTCTTTTAGATGATGATTATAAAAGCTAATTCTAACTAATACCAGTCATAACCTTGAATTGTGAGGCATTAACATCTGTTGGTCACCTAAAGGGATTTTTTTAAAAAAACTTCATTTAACATTGTAGTTACCAAATTGCTCCTGTGTGCAAGAGGTATGTAGGAAGGTATGAAATGTATATAGAACTTTTTTAGTTACCTGCATTGGTGAAATATCTCATGATTTTGTATTTAACACTGTCTTTTAAATGTATTGTTTCAACAGTCTTTTAATGAGTACCCAGTGTACTTGTGGAAGTGATGTTCTAGATACTGGGGAAATAGTAGGAATCAAGACATGAAGTGACTGTCTTCATTGCTTAACTATTTAGCAGGGAAGACACAGATTTCAAACAAATATTTACAGACTAAAAAGGAGTCTTGTGAAGAAGTCCAGAAGCTGTCAAAATATGTCAGAAAATCAAGAAAGGCTTCCTTGGTGTGATAACGTTTGATTTCACCTTGGAAGGATGAAGAGCCATTTGCTGGGGCAGAAGATCGGAGAAAGCATTCTGAGCTTTGGAGAACAGATTTATGAAGGTTCTAAAAAGTGAAAGAAAAGCGATATCTTGGAGGAAAGAACTGGAAAAAAGAGCAAGGGGAAGAATGGTAGTGGATAGCTCCAGAGAGGAGCCGGATCACAGAGAACTTTGTTGAGTCATGTTAAGTATTTTAGATATTACTGAAGGATACCAGGAAGCCAGAGTAGGGTTTTAGGATAGGAGAGTTTTCAGGTTGATGTTAGGGGGGAAAAGGCTGGTTGCTTTTTCAGCATGAAATAAGCCTGTAAGTCTGTATTTTATTGTACTATATGTTCTGTAGCTTTATCACTTCTGAGTTTGCTTTTTCATAAATTATTGAAAATGTATATATTAAAATTGTAATCATGAAATTAAGATTGACGATTTGTTATTTTGAACATTTGCTTAGTCATACTTGTTAATAATAAAACTAGCTGTTGGTCTTTCCTCTAACATTTGTTTCTTTTTAATATTGTGAAGTCCTGGAAAAATATTTAACTCTCGTTTAAGTTTTTTGTTAACAGGAAGTTTCTGCTATATTAACACAATTATTTTTAATGGGCTTACATTTCACTAAATATGGTAAATACATCATAAATTTTTTTTATCTGAAGGGACACCTCTGTATATAATCAAACCTCTTAATTTTTTAGGACGTAAAGTTCAGAGGCAGCCAGACCTAATTATGTGCTCAGATTTGATTAGTAAATAATAACAGTGTCCAATTTTGTGCTTCTGTGTGTAGTGCTGTGGAGGTAGTGCTGTGGAGGTAGTTTGTGTAGTAGAAAGAAAACAGGCTTTGTGTACACATAGATCAGTATTCAAATCTCAGTTATATTGCTTATTGGCTGATTGATTTAGGCAAATAAACTTCCCCTTTCCTTATTCATATATAGGGAGCATCATATTTCCATCTGTAGTTAAAAGGATCAAATGAGACATGTATTTAAGAGCCTAGCCGACCTACCTTCCTTAAATACTGATTGATTAAACATAGATTGGTCACAGTCCTATTATTGTCACTCTTTTTTTTTGGAGAGGTTTTCGCTATAGGGCGCGTGCGCTCGCCAGAGAGAGACAGAGAGATAGAAAGCGAGAAATCACCCCCCAGGGGGGATGGTCACGCAGCAATCCCTTCTCCTCCATTCTCCTCTCGGGATCTTGGGCACGCACGCACACGCGCCCGGCGTGAGTTTTAAGCCACTGGGTCCGGGACGCAAACCACGGTTGACTACGTGGGAGTCCAGTGACATAGCCATTACGCTAACTGCTGGTTCCCTATTGTCACTCTTAATATTGTTGCCACTACTGCTGCCCCTATCACCTAACATTTGTATGCATTATTTTGTCTTATTTTGAAGTTTTATGAAGTAAGCACTGCAATCTCCCATTTTGCAGGTGATGATACTGAGGTGCTGAAGCATGAAGTTAATACACTTGCCCACAGTGATTTAAACTCAAGGTTCTTGACTCAAGAGTCACATATGCTCTTTTTTCCCCTTAAGAATTATTTTATTTAACTTTATTTATTTATTTTAATTTGCCCAGAGAGAGACAGAGTGAGAGAGAGAGAAGGTGAGAAAGCAGTCTGCCAGGTCTGAGACTGGAACAATGGTCGACCATGTGGGGAGTCCAATGCACTTAACCACTACGTCACCTGGTAACTTCAAGAATCACATATGTTCTTAATTTACTACTACAAATGGAGCATCCCAGAGTTTTCTTTCCTATTACTCTATACACTTAGTTATTACATTTTCATAGTTGTAGTTATTCTTGTAAAGGAACAAAGTTCTAAAGCATCATGGTTATTGGTGCTTTAAAGAGTTTAGGAAAGTAAGCTTTTTGGAGCCAGCAAGTGGTATGGAGGTTAAGGCGCTGTATTCCAGGTGACCAACTGTGCAATTTGTGTCTTGGACCCAGCAGCTTGAAAATCAGGCCCGGTGCATGTGTGCATACCCCAAATCCTGTGGAAATAGGCAAAAAAGGGATTGTGGCATCCCTTTCCCTCTTTCTCTGATGAGCGCACATGCCCTGTAACAAAACTTTAAAAAAAAAAAAAAAGCTTTTTGAAGTTTTTGTAGTATTTTCCCCTTCACTCATACTTGTTACTAAATCCTTCATACTCTGTTAAAATTTGTTTTTTTCCTATCTTTTTGGAAGAGTTCTTTAGAGTTTGCAAAGTGATCTTTTTACTCCTGAACTTTTGATTCTTTTTGTCGTCTTTAACTTTTCCCTTTTAACTGTCTCCTTTTGGCATACGAGTTAATTT